CCACAGACACGCCACAGAAACTTATGCGAGTGCATTAAAAAAAAAAAAAACCTATTCTATGCGTCTTCAAAGTGTTTTCATGAATGAAAGTAAAGAAAAAGATGTTAAAAATTGCTCCTCGCCAACTTTCTAACTTAGCGGGGAGAAGACTTAGAAAATCTTATCAAACTCTTCACTAAGATAACAAGAGTTGGCTATGGGAAACAAATTCAGCTTGCGAGCTCACACGATTAGGGCTTCGCCATTATAATCAATCAATCAATCAATAAACAATTTCATATAAATTGATAAATATGTGAAAAATCTGTCTAAGATAACTTACTGTGAAAACATTCAGCTGTCCAGCTTCAAGCGTTTGATCTATGCGTTCATCTTCAGTCAGTCAATCAATCAGAAAAAACATCTTTATATGCTTCATATCTCTTGGTTTTCATTTAAATAATCTCCTGTGAAAAATTCCGGTGCCACCTTTGAGGGTTTCGGCTGTGTGTTGATCTTAAGTCATGCAGTCAATCAATCAATCAATCAATCTGAAAATCAATTTTATCCATAGAGAGATACGTACGACAAATCTTTCTTAAAATAACTCACTGTGAATATTCAGCTGTCTCGCTAAAAGATTTTGAACTGTGCGTCGATTATAAGTCAGGAAATCAATCAATCAATAAGCCTGAACAAATAGATTTATGTATAGAGAGATACGTATAACATATCTTTCTTAATATAAAGAAATAAAGTTGTCCAGCTTTAAGGGTTTGAGATGTGCGTCGATCATCAGTCACGCAGTCAATCAATCAATCAGTCTGGAAAAACAGTATTATATATTCAGATACGTATGAAGTCTTTCCGAGTTTATGCTAAGATAACTTACTGTAAGCTTTTCCGAATCTGTGCGGTGCGTTGATCATTAGTCAGTCAATCAATCAATCCGTCAGGAAAATCAGTTACACAATATCTTTATAGTATTCACTTATATAACCTAAGCTTCCCAGCTTAATGGTTTGAGTTGTTCATGATCAATCAATTAGTCGATCAATCAGTCATGGAAAAAAATTTAACTATATGTAGAGATGTAAGCATTTTGTCTGCTTTGATTGGGACAAAGGCAGCAGCTTTACAGCTGGCAAAGATAAGATTGCAATTTTGTGCCTTAGACTAATTTGGATTAGACGGTTGAGTCAGTTACGATGTTGATAATAACTGCAAGCACTTGAACTCCACAATCAACAGAGAGTACAAGCCGATAAGCGCAGTTGGCATATCGCAAATTGAGGCCAGAGCCAACGCAGTCGACATTCGAGCATTGCCCGCAGCCAGGGCAAGATCTGGTCAATATCAAATAGGAGACAATGGTCGACAATATTGCGGCAAGCGTGCCAAATGGCCTGGGCAAAACCCCGCCCCTGGAGCTACTGTTCCGGCAGGTGTGCTACAAGCTCAAGGGGCCAAAGCAATCCAAGAGCCAAATACTGAACGAGACCTGCGGCGCCTTCCAAGCGGGTCGCCTAACGGCCATACTAGGTCCATCCGGCGCCGGCAAATCCACGCTTCTAAACGTTCTAGCCGGCTTCAAGTGAGTGCATCTCGTGAAACTCTTTTTGACTCAATTTCCTGATCAGTTTTCTTAAATAGGGTCAGCGGCGTTACGGGTCAGTTCCTCATCAATGGACAGCCGCGCGATCTGCTCGCCTTTCGCAAAATGTCATCGTATATAGCACAGAATTTTGTGATGCTATCGCTGCTCACGGTCCAGGAAACGCTGCGTGTTTCCGCCGACTTGAAGCTGCCTACAGGCACAAGTACGCTGCAAAAACAACAAATTGTAAGTAAGATAAGTAAGTGTACTGTTGAGTGCTCGACTAGAATATACCCTGTTATCAGCTTGGAGCTTGGAGCACTGAAACAAATGCATTCTTAAGTGACTCTTGTGTTTATGGTCCGATCTTTGCCATATGTTTACATACCAAAAATCAGTTTCATTCCTCTAAAAAATATTTGAGCTCTAGACTGTAAAGTGAAATATAATCTAGATCCATGCGTACTATAGGAAAGTCGAACAACCAGCTTTTGCAATTTTCGCTTAAGGTTCGACTAACTGAGGTTAAAAATCGATAATTATCGATTGTGAAAAAATATCAATCGATACATGCTGCATACTAACAATAATCTACGAACTTGAAGTATCCAACTCTTATATAAATTAAAAGTCTTAGAATCGATATTTATCGATGTGTGGATCGTAGATAATATCTGAGCTTATAAAACTTGGTGTAATTATCTGCAGAGCTATGCAAAATCGATAATTGTCGATAGAAAGAATCGATATTTACGGAAAATACATATTTATCGACAGGGAAAATATAATTTTATCGAGATGGAAAAAATAATATCGATAAACTTTCTCTACCTATGATAAACTATTACCTAAATATTTTCCAAGCTCCAGCATTTATAGTCTCCGCGTATGACTAGATCTGTGTAGAACATAGTTCTCATCAAGAGTATACAAATTATGGGTCTATATACACCCCGATAACTGCATATGGGACATTCTACCAAATATGTTATTAAATTTCGTTCAAACCTTCAATCGTTTTCCCAGCTGGATGACATTATTGAGGTGCTCAACTTGCATTCGTGCCGTCACACGCTGGTACGGGACATTTCTGGCGGAGAGCACAAGCGCCTGTCCATTGGCATTGAGCTGATCACGAATCCGCCCATCATGTTCTTCGATGAGCCGACCAGCGGGCTGGACAGCGTGGCCAGCTACCAGGTCATGTGCTATTTGCAGAAACTGGCGCACAACGGACGGATTGTGGTGTGTGTGGTGCATCAGCCCAGTTCGCGGCTGATGCAGCTGTTCGACGATGTCCTGGTGCTGGCCCACGGCGAGATGCTCTACGCGGGCGCACAGTGCGATATGTTGGATAGCTTCCAGGCGGCCGGTTTCCGATGCCCACAGTACTATAATCCCGGTGATTTTGGTGTGTACTATGGGATTATATCCAATTTATACCAATCTGATCTCTCTCTCTGTCTCTCTCGATTCCTTCATCCACAATTTAGTGCTTGAGGTGGGCAGCGAGTCGTCCAATCAGCGCTGCGAGACGCTGATCACACAGAACAAGTCCAAGTACGATATTCTGCAGAGCTTCAGCAGTGCTCCGGCGAACGAGCAGAGTGAGTTCGCATTTGCTTGCGCTTCAATTGGATGACTTTGGCTGATCATCCACAATTGCTTCCGCTTTCTTTTCTGCTTCTGTTTCCTGTTCCAACTGGCGCTTGTCACTGTCCTACATTTTCCCACTGCTCTATCTGTTCCTCTTCTTTTCTGTCTGCCTCAATTTACTTGCAGCAGCGTTTATTGAGCTATCCAAAAGTTCGACGGCGTCTGATGCACTGCGTCCCAAGGAGCAGGTGGGCTTCTGGTATCAGCTGAGCGTCCTGATGCTGCGACATTTGCGTGCCATGTCCAGGGATACAGTGAGTAGCTGCTATATCCACTGTTATACATCTATTAACTGCCTAATCCTCTCCAGATTGCCGTGCAGTTGCGTGTGGCAATGCATATTGTGGTCGCCCTGCTGCTGGGCGTCGTCTATTGGCAGATCGGCAATGATGCCGCCAAGGTTATCAGCAATGTATCCTGCATGTTTTTCATCATACTGTTTGTCTTCTCAGGCAATGCCATGCCCTCCATTCTGCTCTGCCTGCAGGACTCGCCCGTGTTCATCAGGGAGTACTACAACGGCTGGTATTCCCTAAAGGCCTACTACATTTCCAAAGTGCTGGCCGATTTGCCACTGCAACTAATATGTCCGACTTTTTTCATTAGCATCGGCTTCTTTATGACCGGCCAGCCGCCGGAGCTGGGCCGCTTTGCCATGTGCTGGAGCATATGCGTGCTGACCGCCTTTATTGGACACTTTATAGGCGTAATTGCTGGCACCTTGTTGCCCATGCAGTTGGCCATATTTATAGTGCCCAGCATATCCATACCGTTTCTGCTGTTCTCTGGCTTTTTTATACGGATGCGCGAATTGTCCTGGTTTCTGCGGCCCATTTGTGACGTATCCTTTTTCCGATACATCTTCGAGGGTCTCATGCGCGCCGTTTATGGCTATGGACGCGGAGATTTGCCATGTCATCAGGATTTCTGCTTTCACAAGTCATCGGAACAGTTTCTCAAATATTTCGACATGTCCGGCGATAGCGTTAACGAAGATATTCTCGTCCTGGGCCTGTTCCTGCTGGTGCTGCTGATCGCCTTCAATCTGTCCCTGCATGTGTGCATCCGGCGGGCTCTGTGAGAGCGGCACGGCAGGTGTGCTGTTGGTTAAGAGAGTCTAGGTTTAGCTTGTATTCAATTCTACTTAAGTATTTAAATCTCGATGTTATAGCCTAATTATTGCTTATCAATGACATAGATCGATGCAGGCTTTAATTTTGACTGTGAGCTCTCAGCAATTGGCTTCATTAGCTGTTTTTTCTTTGATCATAAAACTGATTCGTAAATTAAATGCAATTAAATTTGTTTTCGAGCTCGGTTCGTTTCGTGAATCCGGGCTTTCCCATTCTTACAATCAGATCATAGTTTATCACATTCTTTCAAATACTAAGGAAAATAATTAACTTGATAATTTGTACGAACAAATTCCAATAAAGAAATAGAATAACTTCAAGCTGACAATACAAAACAGATTTTGGGCTCAAAATTGCCCGTTCTGTTAGAAATATTACAAATATGATTTATGATATATAGTATGTATATATAAGGAATTATTTTCATAGATTTTAGCAAGATCTTAACGCTTTGGGACTGGCTCTCTAAACCGAAACACAATTAACTTAATAAACATTAATGCATATGCTCCAACATTTTTTTTTTTTAAGCAAACAATTTTCGCAATTAATGCTGCGGCTGTTGGGCAAATGGTTCGGTTCAAGATTTCGCTCATAGTACAATAAAAATGGGAATTCCCGGTTCGAACCGTTTTGGTTCATAGCCTTGATTTAAAGCACATCATCATTGCTCAACGCATTAATTAAGTAATTTTCAATATAATTCACAAGAAACATAAATGTGTCATGTGTACATTTAATCAATGGACACGCTCGATATTTCCATGGAGCTGCCATCGTGTGTTGTTCCCTGCTGTTCGGATGTCGCTGTGCCCGGCGTTATATCCTCCAGCGTTTCGGTTGCCGCTGTACTGCTTCCCGGCGTCTCCTCGCTAATCGTTGGTATTGTTGTTGTCGTCGTTGTTGTTGTTGCGGTTGCCGTGCTGTTTGCCGTAGGTCCAATCAGACTACGTTGACTAGGCTGGGGGCGGCGTACACGCTCTGGCACCGAACGCAGTCGTCGTGTGCTGCTGGCTGATGTTGAGGGGCCTGCGGCGTTGGCGGCAGCCGTTGATGTTGAGGTTGATTTGTCAGCTATTGAGGTGAATGGTACGCGCACACGCACATCCAGCTGCTCCCATTCCATTTCATCCTCGGAACTGGTCTCCGCCGTGGCCACCACCGTTGTGGACTTCTTCTTTTGGCACTCGGCACTGCGCCGTGAGTCAATGGTCTTTAGCAGCGCCTTGGCCTCCGTTTTGCGCTGCAACAGAGAAACGAATTAGGTTTATGAAGTGGAGCTAACTTATTTAGCTTACATCATCCGAGTCCAGGCACTTGTAAGCATAGTAAGCGGCACGTTCATAGTCACACTTCTTCTCATAGTAGTTGGCCAGCGTCATAAAGCCCTGGTAGAGGCTCTGCTTATCGGTGGCCGCGCGTTCGTCCTCGCAGTACATAATATAACAATGAACGGCCGTCTCATTGTCGCCCAGCTTCTCGTGCAGGCTCGCCAGCTTGTACATGGCTATGCCCTCAATGTCACCCACATCGCAGGCCTTCCAATAGCACTTGACCGAATTCTCGCATTTGTCCAGCTTCTCGTAGGTCTCGCCCAGTGCGACCAACATGCGCGAATCATACGGACGCAATTGGTGGGCAATTTTAAAATAATATAAACTATAATAATGCATTTTAATAATCTCATAGGCCTGGCCCAGGCCATACCAGGCACGATAGTCACGTTTATTGACCTCCACCGCTTTGCGGTAGCTTTGAATCGCAGCATTTGTGTTTTTCAGCTCCATAAATTCATGGCCCATCAGGGTCCAGGCGGCCAAATACTTGGGATTAAGTTTTAAAGCGCGCTGAAAATATGAAATGGCCACCTGATGATCACAGCGTATGCTATAGTAGTTGCCTGTTTGGGAGCAGAGCGAAGTTTAGAACGAAAGTTTAATATGGTTTACGCTTGGAACTTGCCTATAACACAGCAGGTCTCGGGTCGATATTTGTTAATGCTAACAGCCTTGTGCGCCAGTTGGGCCATTTCTGTTTTCATCTCCTTGACGAACAGCAAATTGGAGTAGGTATCCACATTGTCCAGGCGATAGGGATCGCTCTCGAGCAAGGCCTGAAACAACTCGATGGCCTTGTCCACATCTGGCAGAGAAACAGATTGAGTTTATAACTAGGAACTAGGCGAAGCTTCAACAACACACCTCGCTTATTATGATAGACCAGCGCCATTTGGGCAGTTAGATAGATGCTCTTGCTGAAGCCCGCCGCCTGTAGATCCTCGTAGATCTTAAGTCCATCATCATTTAAATACAGCTCCAGATATGTGTGTGCCATGAAGAAATGACGCATCCAATGGCCGCCCAACTGCAGGCTCAGCAGCTTCTTTTTCTCCATAATAAGCGGCGATAGCTCCAGGTAGGCGCTCCACAGCATGGGCACCAGACGCACCGCACTCAGAAGCATTTGCTCGGCTGCTTTATTTAGATTCAATGCCTTAAGCACCACGCCATACAAATAGATGCCATAGCCATCTAAGCGACTGCGTCCATGCTCTGCGCGCAGCGTGGCCAGCAGATCGGCCAAGTCACGCATTTGATTTGGCTCATTGAGATTCGCCTGATCTGTGGTGGAGTCAAGGCGTCGCTTCTCGCGCGCCATGTACGTGGAGTAGAGATGCAGAAAACGTGGCACGCTCGACTCGCAGTTCCTTACCGCGTGCGCGGCCCTATCATATTCACGCACATCGTAATAGCTTTTGGCCAGAAAGTAATCGCTGTACTCGGCGGGCGCAATGCCCTCCAGCTGGCACTCGCTAAACGAATGATCATCGTCTGGCGCCGCGTTGTCGATGTTAACATCGCTCAGGCCATGATGCATCTCCGCCAGCCATTTGGTGCTGTGCAGCAGACCTCGTTTTGAGCACTCAATTATTGCACGACGCAGCTCCTTTTTCACATCCGGCAGCAGCACGCTGAAGAACTCTTGCATTGTGGTTTATGATCGTTCGAGGCTAAAGTTGCAGCTATTTTAATTTAACAAACAAAATTTGCCTTTGAACGCGCTAAACAAGTGCATTTGCCGGTCGTGTCGATTACTACAAATATCGATACGTCGTTCATTTGCAAATCGTGAGTATCGATACAAAAGCACGACAGTCTGTATTGCGTGCAATTGTATTCGCATGTTAACGATGTTTATTGCGTTGCCAATGCATAGTTAATGAATGAAAATACGTAATATATATACATACGCAAATTTACAATTTATAAAATAACAAAATTGTTGGCATTTACCTTAAAATACCTTCATTTTGTGTACTGCTGCAAGGCAATCAATTTGAATTTATACCGCTGTACAATGTGACCATGAGCACAGAAACTAAAAAAGCCAAAATGCTCCAAACAATGCAAAACTCCATAACACTGGCAAAGCAGCTGAATTAAAGCTGCGCAAAAAAAAAACGAATAACAATAACAAAAGTGTCCAAAATGATAACGAAATAAAAACAACAACAACAAACATTTCTTTGTTTACGAAAACGCACAAAAAAACAATAACAACAACAGCAAAGCAGGCAAAATGGCGCTACATTAAAATGCGGAAAGCAACCGCGCATTAATGCAGTTACAGTTACGTATGCTGGTTTAAAGGTCAATTAAGTTTTGGAGCTGGAGCTTCTGATACAACAACATATATATAAATACATATATATATATGTAAGTAAATCAATTGATAATTGTGGTGCTGATTCATTTGTTTGCGACAGCACTTTTTTTTTTTCAATTTAATACCATAAATACGTTTATCTGCTTGGCCAGCGAGTGGCGCGATTTGAACTGAGGCCTCGCTAGTTAGAGAGGAGCTCTCATACCGTTATTGCAATCAGCAGCAGGGTACGCACGTAATATATATACATACGCAAATTTACAATTTATAAAATAACAAAATTGTTGGCATTTACCTTAAAATACCTTCATTTTGTGTACTGCTGCAAGGCAATCAATTTGAATTTATACCGCTGTACAATGTGACCATGAGCACAGAAACTAAAAAAGCCAAAATGCTCCAAACAATGCAAAACTCCATAACACTGGCAAAGCAGCTGAATTAAAGCTGCGCAAAAAAAAAACGAATAACAATAACAAAAGTGTCCAAAATGATAACGAAATAAAAACAACAACAACAAACATTTCTTTGTTTACGAAAACGCACAAAAAAACAATAACAACAACAGCAAAGCAGGCAAAATGGCGCTACATTAAAATGCGGAAAGCAACCGCGCATTAATGCAGTTACAGTTACGTATGCTGGTTTAAAGGTCAATTAAGTTTTGGAGCTTCTGATACAACAACATATATATAAATACATATATGTAAGTAAATCAATTGATAATTGTGGTGCTGATTCATTTGTTTGCGACAGCACTTTTTTTTTTCAATTTAATACCATAAATACGTTTATCTGCTTGGCCAGCGAGTGGCGCGATTTGAACTGAGGCCTCGCTAGTTAGAGAGGAGCTCTCATACCGTTATTGCAATCAGCAGCAGGGTACGCACAACACAATGCAGCTCAGGGGGAACAGCATACTGTTCGCGCTGCTGCTCTTCACAGCTTTGTTCAGTGTGGGAAACTGTTTTTGGCCCTTTAGCAAAAGAGGCAGACACCCCCCGAAACCCGCGCCGCCCAAGGAACCGCAGCTATCTCCGGTTATATTCGGTAAGTATTCATAAACAGGGCAACCGAATGGAAATTATAAAAAAAAATACAATTTTTCAGTGCCAGGCGATGGTGGCTCTCAAATGGAAGCACGCTTAAATAAATCGGGCACGCCCTACTTCATATGCGAGAAGACACACGACTGGTATAATCTCTGGCTAGATCTGGAGCAGCTGGTCATACCGATGGTCTACTGTTGGATAGACAATGTCAAGCTGTACTATGACAAGGTGACACGCACCACGCACAATACGCCAGGCGTGGAGACGCGCGTACCCGGCTGGGGTGATCCCAACGTCGTCGAATGGATAGATCCCACAAAAAATAAGGCCGGCGCCTACTTTAAGGATATTGCCAATGTACTGGTAGACCTGGGCTATGAGCGCCATAAGAATATACACGGTGCACCCTACGATTTCCGACGGGCGCCGAGTAAGTGCCTCTCATCTAGCCAACTAATCTTTAAATTAACAGAAGCTTTTCCCACATTCTAGATGAGAATCAGCAGTTCTTTATTGATATGAAACAACTCGTAGAGGACACATACGAGGCCAATAATCAGACGCCCGTCACCTTTATAACGCACAGCATGGGCAGCCCCATGACACTAGTCTTTCTGCAGGAGCAAACACTTGAGTGGAAGACTCAATATGTGCGCCGGCAAATTAGTCTGGCTGGCGCTTGGGCGGGCAGCATCAAAGCTGTCAAGGTGTTTGCCATGGGCGATGATTTGGACTCGTTCGCGTTGAGCGCTAAAATACTGCGCGAGGAACAGATCTCGCATCCGTCCTCCGCTTGGCTGTTGCCCTCGCCGCTGTTTTGGAAGCCCTCCGAGGTGCTTGCGTCGACACCGTCGCGTAATTATACAATGGCACAGCTGGAGCAATTCTTCAATGATATTGACTACAGAACGGGCTGGGAAATGCGCAAGGATACAATGCGCTATACACAAAACTTTAGTCCTCCGGATGTGGAGCTACATTGCCTGTATGGCGATGGGGTCAGCACAGTGGAAAGGTAATTCCCAAATCGTTAAATCAAATCAAACACTAATTTACTGGAATATTTCATTTTTTGTAGATTGCAATACAAAAAAGACACGATAGCAGGAGAAACCCCCAAGCTTATAATGGGTCTGGGCGATGGCACCGTTAATCAACGTTCTCTGCGCGCCTGCCAACACTGGACGGGCTATACAGACTCTCATATAACCACACTGGCGCTACAGGGTGTCGATCACTTGGGCATTTTGGCCAATCAAGATGTACTTCAATATGTGCGCACTGTCATGCAGCAGCCATAAACTACTTCAAATAGACTAAGAAAAAGAGCAATTTTATCTAGTTAAATGTATCAAAACGCGTTCAAATTATTGCATCTCAAGCGATAAGCAGCTGTAGTTTAAACGAAATGCAATTAATATTAATTCAATAAACCGTTTAAGTAGCTAAAAAAAAAGTTTTTTCAAAGGCAACGATACTTTAGTTGTCATCACTAGAAAACAATAGGAGTATCGTTAGCCGACTATCGATGTATCGATAATTCTGCACAATTCAATACAACGATTACTTGCATTAAATTCTTGTCACATTGTGTATATTGTATTTAAAGCAATTATTATTTAAAAAACAAAATGCCACACGGACACTCGCACGGGCATGGACATGGCTGCAGCCACGAGGCCACCGATATCGACAATGCACTGGAAATGGGCATCGAGTACAGTTTGTATACAAAAATTGACCTCGAAAATACGGAATGTTTGAACGAGGAGACCGATGGCAGCGGCAAGACGGTCTTCAAGCCATACGAAAAGCGTCTGGATACAAGCAAGGTGGGCGTGGCACAGCCCAATATACATATATTGGAATTAACTATATTCTCTGCAGTTTGTGCAAAGCGATGCCGATGAAGAGCTTTTGTTTAATATACCATTTACCGGCAACATTAAGCTAAAGGGCATCATCATTCGTGGCGCCAATGATAACTCACACCCAAATAGAGTCAAACTGTGAGTATTTCTGGGGCATTCAATTAGAGTCGTGCTATTTTAAAATTTATATCCGAACAGCTTTAAGAATCGACCTAAGATGACGTTCGACGATGCACGTGGCAAAGCGGACCAGGAGTTCGAGCTGTCGCGCGATTTTCGCGCAGAAATCGAATATTCACCCAAGTATTTGGCTGCCCTTTAATACTAATATTATATTTAATACCTGTATTCCAATCCCTTGCAGAGTTGTGACCTTTTCCTCGGTGCATCATTTGTCGCTGTATTTTCCCAGCAATTTCGGCGACGACAACACACGCATCTATTATATTGGTTGGGTTTTTGCAGGCGGCAACATTTAGATAGATAATTTAACAGCTTTACTTTGTAGGTCTGCGCGGCGAGTTCACGGAGGCACATTATCACGGCGTCACCATTTGCAACTACGAGGCGCGTGCCAATGCCGCCGATCACAAGGACAAAGTCTTCGATGGCGTCGGACGAGCTATACAATAAAAGATATACATCATATACATATATATATATATTAGGCAGAGTATTGAGAACTGAAGGGGGCGCATATTTTTTGTAATACTAGCACTGTGCTTGAAATTAAACCTGTACAGATTCGAAAAATGGGTAATGTTTCTTTAATTTATTCTTTATTGTTATCTTATTGATTTATGCTTATAAGATGAGATATCGAATCACGTGTGTCAATGTCAATGCATAACGCTTTTTATTACTCAATAGTGTTTCATTATCCATTTTCTTTCTTTCGTTTTTTGTTTATTTGTTTCATTCTGTATTTTTAATAAATTGTTTATATGTATTTTACAAAGCGTTTACTTAAATGTATTGTAATTTTACATTTATTACCGAATAATTTGTTATTGCACTAGTTTTTGTTGTTGTTGTTTTTTAAATATTCTTTTCTCCACTTGCTCATTTATTGTAGTTGACATTTTTTTTTCGTTAAAGTATGCTTCTCGCTTATGCACTTCGATATCTAATAGATAGATGATAGAGACATACACCATGTGTTCCATTTGGGTAAAAACTCACGTGTTTTAACGTATTATTTATTTTGCTGAAACACATTGTGCATATACAAATGCAATTAGGAGCAAAACTAAAGTTATTCAAATGAATGCTTGAAATTCTTTTTCTCTTTTGTTTTCTTTTCTTTTTCTTTTAGATAAAATTAGTTAATATATATTTACAAATTGTATGCGCATACAAAAATCGCATTTATAGGCTGAAAAATATGTGTTATTTTTTTTTGTTTTGGTTTTTAATTAGAAATTCTTGCTGCTGTAGTTTGGGGGCATGGTTGTGTGCGGGAGGGGCAGTTAGGGTATTCGAAAAAGGGAAGGGGGGGCCAGTTTGTGCGATTCTTTAGCTAGATATACATACATACATGTTCATATATTTAGTTGAGGAATTGTATATATATATAAATATGTATTTATTTGATTTCATGTTCTGTTCTGTGTGTGTGTGTGTGTGTTTCTTTGAGTGTGGAATTAAAAAAAAAAGATTTCTCTAGTATTTGATTCCTGGTATTTGCTTTTATTTTATGCTTTGTTGTTGTTGCTTAAGGTGTGTCTTTTTGTTCAACAAAATTTGTGCTCTCGTTCCATAGTTGCAGTTAGGGTTTATATATATGTATATATATATATATATATATATAATGTACAATATATATATATATATATATATACGACTTTAAGTACGATTTTTGCAACAAATCAATATCGGTTTTCTTTAAAAAATACGCTACACCCAAATGGCGTGTACTCGACATTTTAGCTGATAGCCCAAAAAATCGTTCAGTTTTTGTTTCATTTCAAAGAGTTTACGTTTAGTATAAAAAATCATTATATCGAAAGTATAAAAATCGTATTAAGCCTTTCATTTTATTTGTTATTTATTTGTTTTGTTTTTTTAATATTAAATTTTTCATTTAGTTTTGGTTGTTTTTGTTTTGTTTTTCTTTAGCAAAAGCGGGTGTATCTTCATCAAGCAGGTATTCGAATGTTACTTGGCAGGATTATTATATATATTTTTCTTTTTTAAATTTTTTTTTCCTTTATATATATATATATATATTTGTTTTTAAATAGTTTTATAAAAGCTTCGTGTTGTTTTTAGTTTTGTTGTTGTTGTGGATGTGTGTTTTTTTTTGTGTTATTGCAGAGGCCTGTTTCAGTTGTTTGCTTTTATTTGTTTATATATAAATATTTGTATTTTTTTGTTGTTTTTTTTTTTGGATTTTTATCGTTTTTGAAAAGTAGTTGTTGTTGCACTTTTATAGTTAATATGTGTGTGTGTGTGTGTGTGTGTGTTGTTATTTTGTTGTTTGTTATTAATTTAATTAATTTATGCTTTTAGAACTGACATTAGGCGACATTGACTTAGCTGGCTAGTTAATTCATTAATTTGTTTCAATACAAATTTTGTATCTACAATGGAATTGATCAATGATAATGATATCAAAATAATTACCATTAATACATGCATCTATATGATGTATTTGTAATTAAATTATTTAAAGCTTTTTCGTGTGTTTTTTGTGTGTGTTTTTGACCAACTGATAAACATTCGAATATTGCAATTGTTGAAATAAACATCAAATGTTCGTGTACATTAAAAATGTATTTACAATTGAATAATTCGCTACTTATGCACATAGATATACTATTCAATTTGATAAACAGGATTTAGTTCATATTATTATTATTATTTTTTGTTTTAACTACACGCTCCTACAAAATGCTCGCTAAATTTGCTTTTCATATGCACTTACATCTCAGATTTATCAATGTCGTTAATACAATTGCCATGAATATTGCTAGATTCAGCCCAGTACCGCCCCCTTCCCCCTCCCCCCCTCGTCACACCAAAAGATACAAAAGTTAAAGGAAAATCCTTGTGAAATATTCGTTTCGAATATGCTGCTAGACAAATCAAAAGATCTGTTGAAACTAGGGCAGAGCTCGGGGCGGGTCCAGACATCATATTGTTTAACAAGTTTTCAATCAATTGAATTTTGAATATAATTTAACTAGCATTTGTTCGGCTTGTTTTCTGTACGTTACTTTTCTGTATTTTACCATTATGCACTAAATTTTGCGTTGCGCTACTTTATTTTATAAGAATTTTTTATTATTTATATTTTCTTTGCTTGTTTTTTGTTTTTTATGGTATTAGTTTAAATATCTACGGCTAAGTTATGTAATTATTTTATTTGTGGTTTTAATTTATTCAAATCATCATCACATATCAAAAAGTTTACAAAAATTTTACCTTAACATTTCTTTAGCTACATTTCATTTGCATGTACTTATTTCGCCTTTGCTGTTTATTTATTTATTTATTTATTATTTTTATTACTTTTCGTGCGCTTCAGAATAAAACATACAACAATAGATATTATTTGTCTATCTTTGTTTATTTTTTTTTAAGTATTTTCCTTTGCTAATTTTTTACCCACTTAACAATAGTTGTTCTCAGTTATTTTCAACAAGTAATTCCGCGTTCCGAGTTTCACATTCAACAAATATGTGACCATTTTTTTTTGTAATTATTTGAACTGAACGCCTACCAAGTCCGATTATAATTGTTGTTAATAAACATTAGTTAATGTATATAGTTTGTTTTTCATTTCGTTAGTGTACGTGTGGGCATGTAAAAGGCATTTGTTTGGTTTCTTTTGTGTTTTTTGTTAATTCTCATCTTTTATACTCGTATCGTTTGTAATCATTTAAGATTTTTAGTGTTTTTGCTTTACTTTTTCTTTTGTATTTTGGAAGAACTGAGCTGAAAAACCTGAAATTGCATTCACTATTTGCTAGCATTCCAATAATGTCAGCATTTGATATGCCCAATTAAAAAATTTAAGGTTGTATTTTGTACACAAAAAAAAAAAAAAAAAAAAAATCAGAGAAAAAACAAAAAATGAATTTTTATTGTGTTCTAAACGGATTTTGTTCAACTAAAGCGCGTGTCTTCATTTAAGCTTCGTGATATTATGTCTATGTTATGTTATTTGTTATTAATTAATTGAATAGTTAAGCTTATATTTTGTTTCTTCTCCCAGCTTTACGAACCAAATTGACAAAATTCTACACATGATTCACAGAAGTTTAATAACTAATATTGCTTCTTTACTTTTCGTTTCACAATTGATGAGAAAACAAAACTAAAAGCAGTCGCTGCTTGTGCTCGAACAATTCCAAGTTTTTGGTTTTGTTTTTCTTCTTCTTGTGGCTTACAAATTAAATTAACAAAAACAAAAAAAAAAATTTAACTATGTTCCGAATTGCAGTTTTGCGAAAATTTCACAATAACAAGTGTAGCATACTTTTTGGAGCAGCTGCTGCCCCAAGAAGTATGCAAGAGAAATCTTTGCGAAATTGTGGCGAAAGCGCAAATTGGAACATAGTTGTTTGTTAGTTTATTTAAGTGTTAATTGTTGTAACAATTGCTATTTTGTTTTTTTTTTTTTTTTTATAATAAAATCGATGCATAACTTGACTATAAAACGCACACGCAGCTGAACTGTGGCTGATGAATGTGACTGAACAGCATGTTCCGATAAACACTTTCGCCACAATTTCGGTTAGTAATTTTGTTTAGCTCTTAATTGATTTTTAGCTTACTCAATAGTTATGCTCTAAATATTTTGCTGGCACGAAATTCGGAACATGCCATATTCAATTTATTCTGTCTTTGTTTTTGGATTCATGCATTTGGCAGAGAAAGCGGACAACATGATATTATATTTTTTTGTTGGCGTGTGCGCCGCCTCGTTTCAGTTTAATTAGTTAGTTAGTAGTTAATTTTGTTATTTTATTATATTTATTAAACAACTTACTATACAAGCTCTCACGTTCTCCTGCTCCTTCGCCGGCTCCAAATTTGCGTTTATTTTTGCGCTTTTTGTTAACAATTTGTTTTTTTTTTTGTTGCATTTAATTTTGTATTTTATTTGATTGAAACAATTCAATTGCCGTTTAATTATTATGACATCTGCTTTAAATTTCCTTTCCATTTCATTATTTATACAACATTTCCAAATGATTTTTGTTGTTGTTGAAATTTAAGTCTATCAAAATGTACTCTTCCTTTTTTTTCCGGTAGTGTATTGCAAAAATGTGCGAATGGTTGTGTGTGGGTGTGTATAAAAAATTGTACATGTTTTTGTTATTGTTGTTTGGAAAATGAATATTTAGGCGAAGTTTTTTTGTATTGACTGTCTTCGAAATGGAATCTCTTGTTGATATCGCAAATGAAACAGCGCAGCCGGCTTTTGAGCCAGTTTTTATTTTGGTTTTTTACTTGCGGATCCACTGTCAGACGGGATGTCCGTGCTTCTCGGGATTGGCTCGCTTGGCGGCAGCTGCCGCGCCCAAACGCCTGGCACGCCAACGATCGATGGGCGTGTAGCAGCATATGAAAAGCGGCGGCACCTGAGGCGTGCCGCCTGAACTGGCCCCGCTGCTGCCGCTGCTGCTGCTGCTAAGCTGGGCGAGCGACTCAACGGTCAGCTCAGTCTGGACGCCGCTGCTGGTCATGCGCACCTCGGCCTGATACGGCGGCGGTGAGTCCGCATCCAGCCTGGCTGGTGGCGCCGCCGCCTTGCATATAACGCTCGACGGCTGCAGTTCGTGCAGCTCGAAGCTGTCGGAGCGCACGCTCGTCGGCGGTGTGGCGGTCGAGGGCCGGAACTCGTGCGAGCAGCTCTCGACCATGGCAGTGCGATAGGTAGCGGCAAAATAGTTTGTCTCCAAATAGTGGCACGATTCGAATAAATAATCATCGAATTGCAGACGTGTCGAGCTGTTGCTCTCACCCGGCCCGGCATGCTCCATAAAGTTGCCCTTGTGCGACTGTGTCGATGGCGAGCCCAAGGCTAGCGGCAGCATGGAGCGGGACATGGGCATTAGCTCCAACGAGCTGGAGCAGGCAGCTTTGCTTGTGCGTTGTGAGGGTTGTTGTTGCTGTTGTTGTTGTTGTTGCTGCTGCTGCGGTTGTTGTTGTTGCTGTTGCTGCCGCGGCTGCTTTGGCTGCTGCTGCTGCTTTCTTTGCTTCATATCAACAATTTCTATTTCTTCTATATCACTAAAACTATTTAACTGTTTCAACAAATAATGCACATCATTTCGTTTCGTTTGATCAGCTGCGTTGTGCTGTTGCTGCTGTTCCAACATTGCCGCCGTCTTGGTTTTTATAGTGTCTAGTGCTTGCATGGTTAATGGAGTGCTAACGACGGCAATGCCACGTGGGAGGTTGTCGATTTGCCGCAACTCGTGCTGCTGCTGTTGTTGCTGCTGTTGTTGTTGTTGTTGTTGTTGTTGCAGCTCTGGATAAGCCAGCGCGAGGCGTTGCTGCAGCGTGGCGCTGCTGAACGCGGAGGAGGCGCGATGTGGCTCCAGTTTAGCAGAGTCGAGTATGCGATTGAATTTAGCTAATGCGCTATTGGATGCTGTTGATGAGCTGGTTGTTGTTGTTGTTGTTGCGGTGATCTTATGTCTTAGTTGTTGTTGTTGTTTGGTTTGAGGCACTGTTGTGACGGTTTGTAAATTATCACCAACACGGCGATGCCCACTGCCCTGAGCATCGACGACATCCGCGACGCTGTCATCCTCCACCTGATCATAATCATCATCATCATCATCATCATCGTCGTCGTCGTCGTCGCAGACATCCTCATCAACATCATCAATATCAACGCCATCCTGCAGCGTTTCGTTAACATTTAAATTTAAATTCAAATGCAAACGCTGCCGCAACAGCAAACGTTGCGTTTTCGTATCGATGGGCAACACGGCACCTGGTGGCGCCGGCGCCGCAACGGATGCAGTTGCTCCAATTAGACCACGACCAGCGGCAATTACGGCCGCCGCTCGCTGCTGTGCGGTGGCTCTAGCTAAATTCTTTTGTAGTATCAACTTCCTCGACGAAATGATGCCATTATTGTCGCTCCCCCGCGATTACCGGCTGTCGCGGGTGGAGCGAGGCCGCCCCTAACTGGAGGTGCTCGCAATGGGCGAGACGGGTGACAGCGGACTGCGTACGGCCTGTTCGCGCGGACAGCCGGTCAGCGTGATGACCAGCTTCCGGCTGCCGGCCTGATCGCGATGCTCGCACAGCCAAACGCCCTGCCAGGTGCCCAGCGAGAGTTTGCCATCGGTAATGGGGATTGTCAGTGAGCTGCCCAAAAAGCAGGCCTTCACGTGTGCGGGCTGAAAGGCAACAATTTAAATAGGTTAATTCACGTACCTTACATTCATCTATACTAGAGCCCGGCATCAGTTAATTCATTTGCAACAAACTCACATAACCTCCGAGTCGAGCTAAACAATGTTCGATTGAACTATTCATCATCGAACATGCAACATGTTCGATCTAAGTTTCTGTTCGATCGGACTCAATTGAATGCAGCTCGAGCCGAAATCGTTTGAGTCTTGACTCGCTCGATCGAAATACTTGTTCGATTAACTTGATGCAGGGCTGTAAACTAAACTCATCAAGTATAGCTACCATATCGTCGGGTCCTTCGCACGAATGCCTGTAGGGCAAACCTTCGGGAACTATTTTATTCAACATCATTTCCATATCGTCTCTGTAAAAATGAAAAGCATTTTTAAACATATATATAGATGTTAATTCAATTTATCAAGCATGTCTATGGCTCACCTGACGTCTGGATCCCAGCTCTCGTTTAACGCTAAACTCGCCGAGGTGTGAAGTACTGTAAATATGATGAAGAAAAAACGAATTGAGACAAAGTGAATGCGGCGTCAATTAATTTGTTAATTAATCTTTAAATCGCTAGCCAAATAACTGAATAATAGACGCCCAGTTATTAGACCAGCACGAGGGCGGGCCAAACCCAAACCCAAACACACACACAATTTATTTCCAATTGAGTTGCAACGCTAATTAACCAGAATATTTAACACGAATTTTAATTATAAACGTTTGTACTTTTCTTTTCTTTTCTTTCATTTTTTTATTTTCAATCAACTTTAATTGAACATTTTTGCACATGTTATATGATAAGACAATGTCTGAGGCTGGTTATGAAAATGGAAATTTTGATAGAAATTTGTTTGCCTCTCATTGAGCTGCATGTGTAAATGCATTTAAATCGGAGCTGCCAAACAGAGGTTAGTTCTGTTCTTGGTTTGAGCCAGCATCCTGCTGATATTGATTAGAATATATTCAAAAACGGAATATCTTGTCAAACAAAATCGATTTTTTCTATATAGGAACTTAAATAATTGTACGATGTTGATAAGATTTACCATATATATGTTATGAGGAGCATAGTAAGACATATAAAGGCCGCGTCGGGTGAAAAACCCGAAAAGTATTTCATGCAAGTTTCAAGACGATAAAACTGAGAGACTAGTTTGCATAGAAACAGACAGTCGGACATGCTGTCATGGCTACATGGCTATAAACTCGACTGTTGATCTGCTCATGATCTAGAATATATATACTTTATGGGGTCGCAGATGTCTTCTTCTATGCGCTACACATTTCATGACAAAATCATAATACCCTCTGCCAGGATATAAAGGTGCAATTTTTTATAAATAATTTATAATTTACAATATGCAATTTCATTAATCCTTACAATCTAACAGTTACAATTAACAGTCTCTTTAACAGTCTATACTTAACATAACGCTTTAACAGTGTCACTTTAACAGCGTAGCGTAAGCAAGGTCTAACAGTATTTAGCTAACTTCTTTAAATATTCAAATTAATTAGTCAAATAAAATTTAAAAATTAAACGATTAAGAAAAATAATGCAATCAGGCATGGATTCGAGTACTTTGTTTTTCACCAATAAATCATTCAACAGTCCGATGGATGGCACATTTAATACCCAAGTGCTGTCTGCTGCAATTCGAAGGCATTAAAATTGACTAAGAAATTCGCTAGCCAGTTGAGTAAATTTCCGCAAAAATTCTTTGACATGGCGCAGACCCAGTTAGAGACCTTTGACTGTTGCTTTTGCCTGAACATGACCAATTCATGTCTGGTTTGACTTTGCGGCATTTCGACAAATATTTCAAAGCCTACATTTTGTCGAAGACCTCGCTCTCGCCACACCAAAAACGTCGGCTGGGCAATTGGCCGACTGCCAGCGTAGAGCCGACAAACATTTAAATTGAATACTAGTACTTAAAATCATTTAGTTTTAATAATAAATAGAGCAATAGAGCGCTCGTAACACACTAATTGCATATTTATGAATAAAAGAGCTGACAATAAACGAGAGTGGAACGCAGCGCAAATTAGTTTATTATCAAATCCCAGAGATGTCATTCGGAGCCCCCAAACGCTTCACATGTTTAAGAGTGTGTGGTGTGTGTGTGTTTTTTTTTTGTTTGTGTCTATCAAAGTTGAGGTTTCAAGTTTTTGGAGGCCTTGCTAAATAATTTCCGAAAAAACGATTATGTCATGTTGGACATGTGTAAATGGGCAACAGGAATTTTAATGTATCACAGACAAGCACAGGAATGCATTAGTTGCAGATGGCAGACTGGGAGACACCCTGTATTGCCTACGAGCTGTCGCAAAAGGCACTTGTATTATTGTTTTACTTGTTTACGGTTCACACCATCCCAACTCTGGACTATGGAAAATTCTTAAAGAAAAATCTTTCGTATTTCTTATCACAGCATTTAGTTTAGAGATTTTTATAATTGATATAAGCCTTAATTATCTAAGCTGTTAAATAACTAATATAGCATATTTTGTGTCTTTAGAAGCTCGAAAAATTAGAGAAAACAAGTAAGAGGTTCTAGTCGGGAGCTCCCGACTAAGGGATACCCTGAACCCTCTTCTTCCAACATCAAATGCATATATATATTCTATTTTAGAAGCTATATGTCAAGTTTGGTGACTCTAGCTCTTATTATTATTTACCAAAATTGCCCAAAAAACAGAATATCGATATCGATTTTTATCGATTGCTCGGAGTAAGTTATCGATTATCGGAAACAAACTCGATCTGCGCGGGCACTAGGAGCACCTACATCTAAAATTTCAAGTCTCTATCTCTTATAGGTTCTGAGATCCTTGCGTTCATACATACATACGGACGGACGGACAGACATACGGACATGGCTAGGTCGACTCGGCTATTGATGCTGATCAAGAATATATATACTTTATGGGGTCGGAGATGCTTCCTTCTGCCTGTTACATACATTTGGATTTGCACAAATACAATATACCCTTATACCCATTTTTAATGGGTTCAGGGTATAAAAAACCAAGACCCAGATGAAAGCTATATTTATCGATTTCTGGAAAATTGAACCAGTTATCAATAATTTGAAGGAAACTTTCTTTTTGTAACGTAGCCAATGGAATGCATCAAATTCAAAAATCATTTAAAAACTCGAGACCACGGCAAAATCGATATTTATCGATTTCAGCTAAATAGAGCAAGCTATTGATAAATCAGAAAAAAATCACTATGCCTTATTCTGTCTGTTACACACATTCGGGCAAACACATATTAGCCCCTTTAAATGCTTACAGGGTATAAGAAACAAAACGAACAGGCAGAATAAAGAGACAGAATGCGGCAGGATGACAGAGAGCATGTGGCTGGGGAGGGGATGATAAACAAGCCCAAAGCAAAATCTCAAATGGACAAACGGACATTGCAAATGAAAATGAACTCAAAACTGACAGCCAAAGGCAGCGGGGCCCCCGCACAAATTTGCAAATTGATTTCGGCCAAGAACTGTTGGCCAGATTGAAGAGGAGGCATGTGGCAGAAGGAGGCGGGCAGCGACCGCAATTAGTTGACGCGACTGAGGCTGTGTTGCCGCCAGATCGGACAGGTGCATATATATATATATATATATATATATATATATGTATATTTTATGTAAGTGTGCCAACTATAAATATGTTAATGCGTTAACATCATTGTGCGTGCCTCCGTGCTGCGGCCTTCGAGTGGCTAAGAGAGGGAATTCACGCTCTCTCACTCAAATGACACTATTTTCATGCCGCAACAAAGGACAGGAGGGAAGGGGCAGGTGTTAGCTTTAATATGATTTAGCTATGTGCTGGAAGGGAGGGGCGCAGGGGTCTCGGCCATGTTTGCCAATGGGCAGATGTGCCTAGGGAAACACATGAAGGCGCATATCAGTGGCAAAAGCCCAGAGTCCGTTTTAATACACTGCAAGAAAACTGGACAACATTTGAAAATATGTTGCAAATTTGTCAGATCAATGTTTGATACAAAAGTTATTGGGGTTTTTCATGTTCTTGAGATGGGAAGCATGAGCATAATATAAATATATTATATAATAAATAGCTAGATAGTTTTTATATATACATATGTGTTCATAATATATTTGTAAACAATTTGAAATTGGGAAAGTGCCTCTGAGTGTATATATACTGCATAGCATGTACAGTGTTTGGCATAAATATTTTGACGAAACAAATTTGTATACATGTCTATTTTATATTTATCCAATAAGTTTCCCCATACACTGCACCACGCTATAAGTTTTGTATCTAGAAGCTTTATTTATACAATGTGCAGCGCATTTTCTTGCAGTGTAGCGCGCATTCATTGAGTGGCAGCTGGCTGCAGAAATGTGGCGACAAGGGGTGCAAAAGTATGTGTAAACACACACACACACACATATGCATGTGTGTAGTATATGTGCATGTGAGTGTGAGTAGGAGTTGGATGTGAAATTTCGAGTGGTCGTTGTTGTTGTTGTTGTTCTTCTTCTTCTACTTCGTCTGGTTGTTGTTGTTGTTGGCTTCTCACATTTAGCGGCGCGTTTAGGCACTACAAAAGTTGCTAATGTTTTTAAAAAGGGGCCTTTTTTATTATACAAAGTCAAACATTCTGACAGCATAAGCAGCACACACACGCGCGCAAAACCGCAATACACACACACGCACACACACACACACACAGGCACAAGCGTCTGCTGCAAATGCTGAACAATGGACATGCGGCTCGCTTGTGCTTCTCATTCATTCATATATGCATGTGCATACATAAGTAGCAATTGTGTGTGTGTGCCTGTGTGTGTGTGTGTGTGTGTGTAGTTTAGTGTGTGCATATTACATGATATAGCGCAGCACAAAACGCTTAAATACATCAACCTTATTACCCAGCGCGTTGGCAACATTTTGTGGTCAAGAGCCGAAAGCAGAAGCTACCGAAAAAAAAATGTGTGGCATGCAAACAGGCGCAGGAGCAGCTGCCGCATTGGACGGAGGGGTGTAGGAGCCGCAGGGGGGGGGGGGGGGGGGGTTTGGGCAGGTTTAGTAGCACGAGACGCCAGGGGCAAGCGCACCTACTAAACACTCATTAAAACAAGTTAACTGTGCCTCAAGGCTAAATACCCTTTGTGGACTAAAGCCAAGTATGCAAAATATATAGGTTATAGTAGTACGCTGTGAAGAGGATATAGATAATATATAAGAGGCATACTTAAACTCGTTTATTTGAAGAACAAAAATGTTGTTCGTAGAAAAACTTTCATTTCTGTCGATAATTTCTATGGGAGCTATATGTTCCTGAAGGATCAGGTTGTTCAAAACTTGCCTATATATTAATATTGTATTCTGAGTTTCGTAATTCCAAAGTTTGATTAAGCATAATTATGTTTTCAACTAGAACTGTAAGCCATACTCTAACGATCGCAGAATCCTTAATGCCAAATGCTAGGGTATAATTAAGCTACC